GAGGAGCAGGAGGAGCAGGAGCAGGAGGAAGAGGGGGTGGTGGTGGAAACAGAAAGAGGGAGGCGGAGGAGGGGGAGGAGGAGGCGTGAGCAGGAGGAGAAACGGAGAGGAGGAGGAGGAGGAGGGAGGAGGAGGAGGAGGAGGAGGAGGAGGAGGAGGAGGGGCAGTTTGCAGGAGGAGGAGGAGAAATGAGGGCATTGGAGAAACGGGGAGTGGCCACCGGAGGGGGCCCTTTGTGTGTCGCTGGGGGGGCAGTCACCCAACGAAGGTCCAGCGACGAACCCCGCCCAGTGGAAAGAGAGAAATAGACTAGACGAACCAAGCCGGGAGGGGGAGGACGAGGAGGAGGATGACGATCGAGGTAATCGGACGCGCCTTGCGGGGACCCCTGGAGACTTTAGACCTCTTGGGGCCCCCGGAGGCCCACGGAGGGCTGTGCAGGCCACCCAAGCGGGGCTGGTGCAGGAGAGGTCGACTGAGGGTCGGAGGATGGTTCCAACGCGGCAAGGCCACTCAGGCAGTCTCTTGATCCCGGTGCGAAGAGGAGAGGATGACGAGGTCGACGATGAGGGGGAGCACGATGAGGGTCTGTGGGATCCGTGGAGCAGGGCCCGAGCTAAACAATATCTGTCGTTTTTGCTCTCGATGCTCCTCGATCTGTCTGCAAAAGGGGATCAACACGATAACTGTCCACAGAATCGCCCAAACATCGTTTCGCTCGAAACCCGCAGAGTTTAAGGGCGCGAGTCGAGGTCGTCTGGGCCTGCGAGAGCGCGGCCAGAGACCCCCACCCCTGCGACTGCAGTGGGCGCGAGCGCGACCGCCCCCCCCCCCCCGCGGCTGCAGTAGGCGCGAGGAGGGGAGGCTCACCCGCCACCAGCAGACCTCCAGTCTTCTGCCAGGCCAGATCTTGGCGGATGTGGCCTCCTGGCCTGGCCGAGCTCCGACGCTCACCAAAGGCCTCGGCCCATGCTGGGCCCGAGGAGATTCGGTGTCGAGGACGTTGGCAGAGCAAAAGATACCCACAAACACAGGAAACTGACCGCACGATTGCGAGGGGGACTGCCGTGAGCCCAAATTTGCGGTGTGCCGTCAGGCTCACGGGATAGCACAGGATGTTGGGGTCGCGTCTGAGTGCGTCCAAGCCAATCCAGCCGTCGGGGCTCTTCTCGGCACTGGCGGTCACTGTGGGCACCAATACTTCCTGAAGGCTTGGAACAGTGCAGCTGGAGTCGAGGAGGCGCGCGGACTTGAAAGGGAGGGGCAACAAAACACAACGAGAGACGAAGAGCCACAGCCTTGCAAAACAACCTTGCCATAGCCGCCGTAACTACGGATACTAGTGCGAGGTCGGGGATTGCTGGTCGCTTGCGCGGTTCAGGAGCAACTGCACAAAAATCCGCCGCAGGCGTATTTTTTTCCCCCGAGCTGCGCTTGTAATCTCAGAGGCCTCATAGATGAGGTCGGAGTAGATGGGGTCAGGAGACTGCGCCGCATCGCCAATACATCGTGGATGCGTCGGCGATGCATCGGCGATGCACCGGCGATGCACCTCCGACGTCGACGATGCACCAGCCACGTCGACGTGAAGCAAATCGGGCTTCACACCGAGCCGCATCGGCGATGCATCGGCTAGGCGGCGTGATCCTCCGACCCCGTCTCCTCCGACCCAAGATGGGAGGCCCAGACATAGAGAAGTATGACAAATTGCCCCGAGTGATTGTTTTCGGTGGCAACTCATGGGAGCCTCCCATACCATCTTGGCGGCTCTTGCGAGTTGACGCTAAATCGACGCTAGTCGACGCTGAATCGACGTCGATCGACGCAAAATCGTTGCTATCTCGTCGACTTAATTATGCGAATCGACGTCAATCAACGCTAAAGACGGAATTCAGAGAAGATACGGTAGGTTCGTGCGGCGTCGGCGCGCGCGAAGTTTTCGACACCGCGTCGATCGTTCAACCTTGAATCAATCGCGGCCCCGATCGTTCAAGGTTGAATTCTGTCGGGCCCAATGGAGTTATCGTGTCCCTCGGTACTTCCGCGTCGCAAGATTCAACCTTGAACGCCTTCGCCGGCGTCGCCAGCGCGCCAACGTCGCGCGAACCTACCGCACACGGCTACGGCTTCCATGGTTTGCTACCGACATTCTTTGTGTGTGCCCTTTCGTTGCACCGTCCTGGAAACACTCGCTCCACTCGTGCGTCGAAACTGCGTAGAACGTCAGTCGATCTGAACCGACCTTGGGCCGAACCTGAAAGGAACCTGAATCGACCTTGAATCGAACCTGAATCGAACTTGAGTCGAACTGGGTCCGAACCGGAGTTGAACAGATCCGTTAGGTAGGCCCCAGGAAGGTCCCCAAAACGGGCATCTAAGGAGGCTTTGAAATAGAGACTTCCCACTTCGCGGGCTTCCGCGGTGCTGAACACTGGTGTCGCCGTCGGCCCGCGATCTGCCTCGCGGCACATCGAGCCACGACCCGCCCAACGACCTGCCCAAAAACCTGCGCCGCGACCCTCACGCGACCTGCCCCGCGACCTGCCCCGCGACTGGCCCAACGACTCACAACTCACCCCCGCAACCCGCGACCCCGAAACTGTGGGGACCCGTTTGCAACGGCACTGCCTGATCTGGCATGATTCTCTTCACCAACGCACCATTCGCCTTTCTGGGCGGTTCTCGAGACGTCGCCACGCGGAGTGCTGCGCTGGTGCAGATGCGGGTCCTACGACTAAAACCTACTGCGATCGTCGAAACAACGACGACGGATCGCCTGGCCGCACGGCTACACAAGGGTCGCCTGGCCGCACGGCCACACAAGGGTCGAGGGGCGCCACGTCGAAGCAAACCGGGGCCGTCAATCGCCCAGCCACCCGATCTCGTGGGCAAGCTTCATGCAGCTCCCCGAGACGCCGTTGATCAGGTCTGCCACGGCCGTGAGCTCCCTCTCGCGGGAGGTGTCCACGTGGGCGGCGGTGCGCAGGCCCTTCTCCACGGCCTGCACGATCACGTCGATCATCTGGTCCGCGTTGCCGTCATTCCAGGCTCGGAGCGCCTGTTCGGTGAGATCCGCGGCGTCTGCCCAGACCTCGTCCCAGGCCCTCTTGGCACTCTTGAAGGCCTGGGACCGCCACTCGGTCCTGGGCACGATCAGCTTCGCCAGCTGCCAACCCTGGACCTTGAACGAGTCGATGGCATAGCGGAAATCCGGGGGCTCCTCGAGGAGCGAGGATATCAAGGTGGTGACAAGACCCACCGAGGTGGTCAGCAGCTTGTTCATGTGGGCCCCGTCCCACCCGTCGCGCCCCACCCCGTCGCCGATCTGCGCCAAGGAATCGCCCGAGGAGAGGAGGTCCATCTTCTTGCTGAAGCTCGAGACCGCGCCGCCGAATCCCTTCGCAAACTCGGAAATGGCGTTGATGAATCTGGCCTGACCGGCAGGCTTCTGGTATTCAGAAATTCCACCCTCATGGTAATCCCCCCGACACGGGAAGCCGTTAGTAAAAGCACCCAAACGAGGAATCGAACAGACCCCGGACTAGGCCGCGGATCAAGCGGGCTTGGGCCAGATTGGGCGGGATTGGGCTGGATTCAAAGGGTTTGGGTCGGACTACGCGGGATTGGGACGGGTCTGGCCAGACTTCGGACCAGGGCAAAGTCAGAATTTGACCTCCCAGGAGTTGGAGTAGGAGGAGGAGGAGGAGGAGGAGGAGGAGGAGGAGGAGGGGAATGAGGAGGAGGAGGAGGAGGAGGAGGAGGAGGAGGTCGCATCCGAAGGCTTCCGTGCGAGGCGCGAGGTGCGAAGCGCGCTGCCCCCGCCACACCTCCGCGCCGCTCTCGGGGAGAAGCCGCGCTGCAGCTCCGCGGGCCCGCTGCCCGGCCCCGCGCGTGGCCCCGGCGGAGCGCGCACGCTCCCCACGCAGTGCTGGCACCGAGGGCAGCTCGCCTGGTCTCTGGCGTGCGCCTGGGATTTCCGGCGGCGCGCGGCGCGCGCGGAGGGGGTGTGGTTGCATTTTTGTTCCCCCCACGGGGATCCAGGCAGCACCCGAAAGCTAGGGCACACCGTCGGTCGCACGACCGACCCTGCACTCGTCCCCACGATCGATTCCACCATCGATGCCGCGATCGATCTCACAATCGATCTCGATATCCATATCACTAATGTTCAAACCTGTCCTCTTACTGGGGCCTTTCTCTGGAGATCCAGCCAACACCCGAAAACTAGGGCATCTTGGGCCAAGGACCTGCCTGCCAGCACGGAACACCGCGGCTTTGACTGGGAACACTTATTTTGCAACCTCCCTGAGGCAGCTGAGACAGGAGGACTCGTACAAGACCCAGCACGGAACTCCGTGCGACCCGACAACATCTGCGCGCCCTTGCACTACTTCGCGGAACTGGCGAGCATCCCAATCAAAAGCTGCTTCACTATCGCCATTCCGCTCATAGCCACCGCAGCTGCGGATAGGAGTGAGGATTTTTTTTCTGGGCCCGAGGGGCGGCAGGCCAGACCCGAAGCCCGCCGAGATCCCGCCCTTCCTGGGCAGCGCTTGCACTCGGCTTCCGAAGACGCTGCCCGCACCTGTGGGGCTCTTGCTCCCGCCCCTGCAGACCTGGAGGAACCGGATGGCTCCGCCCGCGGGCTTCCCCTGCGCGGGCGCTCCGCCGAGGCCGCCGCCCGCGGGCGCCGCGTGGGCCTCCCCTGCGCGGGGTGGCTCCGCCAAGGCCTCGCCGCGCTGACGCCCGCAGGGCGCCCCGCGGGCGCCCCGGTGCGCTGGCTGGGTCCGCCGAGGCCTCGCCGCGCTGCCGCCCGCGGGCGCCTGGTGGGCGTCCCGTGCGCCGGGCTGGTCCGCCGAGGTTTCGCCGCGCTGCCGCCCGCATGGCTCACACCGCACAGTTTACGGATGATACATACAGGGCAGTTTTTAAGACATGGGATTAGAACACTTATGATGTATTTAAATACATGATCCGCACGCGGAGCATGTATAAAAAACGGCACTGTCGAGGGCAAAACATCCACTCCCATAAAGAACCACCCCGACAAGCAGGGCCGTTTAGTGAACGCACCCTACGAAGGAATCGAGCAGGGCAGGGCTGTCTGGTAAACGCCCGGGGCTGTTTAGTAAACGCCAGGTATCAGGTACGGCCCACGCCACATAGATCCCACCGCATGGATCACACTACACAATTTACACATCCGCCGTGCAACATCTCTCCGTAAGGGGGACCACGCTGGCGAGTACGACTTGGTTTGATGAAGACTTGAATCGGCAGCGAGCGAGGGGGGGACGAGAGAAGGAAAAGGCCTTCTCAGAAGGCTCGGAAGCCCCCCTGACCTTCTGAGAAGTGCTATTATAAGCCTTCCCCGAATACGCACAAAAACAATTCTCAGAAGGCGCGGGGGCTTCTGAGAAGTCCCGCCGCCTTCTGAGAAGGCCTTCTCCTTCTCACTTCCTCCCGCGCTCGCCACCGATTGAAGGGACCCGTCGGGGCTCTACCTATAGGTCGGGCCTGGCCCCCTACAGGCGGGTTTTGGACGAATGATGCAGAAAATAAAAATACCACCCGGAAACCAAGATAGTCAATCCTCTCCCCTTCCTCTCTTCCTTTCTTTTTTTGTTCTTAGACAAAAAGTTGTGTGTGCAATACTTGTTTTGTCCTTTCTTTCTGTGTTTTCGTGAAAGAAACAGCTACGTTTGCCACATTCCTCCTGTAGGCAGACAAGGCCGACCGAATTCTGCCCGGTGGGCGCGCCCGCGATCCTGGGCGCGCCGTGCGCTCCCCCTCGCCGTGCGCGCCCGCCGAGGCTCGCAGCCGCCCCCGCTGGGGGGCGAGCCCGTGGGCGCCGCCCCACGGCGGGCCGCCCCGTGCGCCGGCGGGGCCCGCCGGCGCTCCTGGCGGTGGGCACCCCGTGGGGCAGCGAGGAGGGCTCGGGTCGGGCGAAGGCCGGCCGCACGCAAGAGTGGCCCTGGGTTGCATAAAAACAGAAAAACGTGATTTTTCGAGTTTTTCGTATCTCGCTACCGAAGCTTTTTTCATGTGTTCCGAGGATCGCCGTGCAAGAAAAGAGCTCTACGAGGGCCCCGGCGGTAACCAGGTTGACGGTTTACCGCCCGTTCCCAGTTTGCGACCCATGCATTCGCAGGAGCGCCCTCTGGTGCGCGGCTTTCTGGGGGCCGAGGGGGGGCCCAACCTGGGTGCGCTGGCGGGGCCCGCCGGCGCTTCTGGCGGTGGGCACCCGAAAGGGGCAGAGAAGGATGACTGCCTACGAGACCAGCCCCTCGCCATCGCTCGGACGTCCATTCCCTGTGTTTCTGCTCGGTTTCGTGCGTGGCTTCTTCGCCAAATGATCAAGGATGCTCCTCGATGGCCCTCGCCGAAAGAAAAAGGCACACGTCCGAGCGATGCCAAGCCCCAACCCAACCCGAAGACCCCAATTTTCGGGTTGGGGGGGGTACGGGCTCCACATGTGTTTTTGTCAGTGTTCCCCGACCCCCCCAAACTGGAAATGGAGGGCAGATTGAGGCCTTCGGGTTGGGTTGGGGTTGTTTGGTGGGTGGTGAAAAAAGACTCGGGTCGGGCGAAAGGGGGGGATAGCAAAGGGGGGGGGGAGAATCAGCTCACGTATGGCTATTTTCCCAGCGCCTCCCGGCGTCGGAGGCGACGATGTGTCGAGGAATGGGCTCCCCAGAAGGGTCGAAATTAGCTGTATGCAGTAAATTCCGTACCCCCCCCCTTCCCAGTCCCCCCCTTTCGTCCGGCCCGAAAGAAGAGAAGAAGAAAAGACCACATATACATAAACTTTTGGCGCTCCGCCCCCCCCTGGGGCGCGGAACGCGCCAGGGGCGGCGCCGGAGGCGCCGCCAGGGGGGCCCAGGCGCGGATCCAAGAGATCTGCGCGGAGCGCCAAAAGTTTATGTTTATGTGTTTTGTTCTTCTTCGAAGGGTGCCCCACGCATACCCATCGGTCGGAAGAAGAACAGGATTCGGCCTGACCCAAGGAACGATGAATAAGGAACGAAGCCCCGTGTTTTCAAAGTAAGTCGGCGGTGGACAAACCTTCCTTTAGTAAACCTCCCCTTAGTCAAAACGGCCTGTGGCCGAAACCGACGGACCCAAACCCGCAAAAATGACGGCCGCGACGCTCTCTCGCGAACCGAAGACGGCCAACTCGCTAATAGACGTGTCAGGGTAGGATGTCTATGCACCCCCGACGGACCAGCCGCCCTCGTCGACAAAACAACCCCGCGCGTCCAAAATGTCGAGGAACGCGAGGGGGGCTCGCCGCCAAGAAGGTAGCGGAGCACATGCAAACCAAAAAACGACCGAGCCCCTTTGGAAAAACAAGTACTCCTTATTCAAGCCGGATCCTGTAGGGTACCCTACGCATACCCATCGGTCGGAAGGAGGTAAAAACACGAAGTTGGAAGGAGGTGTTGAAAGTACATTGGGTGTCCGCCCGCCCCCCAAAGAGGACGGACAAGGTGAGGCCACTGGATCATTGAAGCAGGAAGGCGCTCAAGGTAGATTGGAATCTGGGACTCCAGAACTTGTATTTTTTTCGCCGATGGGTATTGCACCACATACCTTGCGTCCCATGTTGCATCACATAGGTTGCTCTACACCACATGGGCTCCGCCTCCCACCAACACATATGTTCGACGCCGTGCCGAAGCCGGACTTCGCGCCCTCCCTTGGGGTATTGCGTCCGCTTCCAGTGCAAATTCCGCACGAAAGTTCCTGTACATATCAGAACCGTCGACCCCCGCCTGCCGGGTGCAAGGCGTGTTCGCTGTTTGGGTGACCCCCTTCCCTCTTGCCCCCGAACTAAGATCCAAAAGTCCATACGGGGGGGGCGGCGGGGGGGGCTAGAAGTAGGTCGGGCATGTCCTCCTACAGGCGGATGTTGTTTGGAGGAAAGATAGAAAATGACCAAAGAAAAACCATACATAATCGAGAACTAACAGAAACAAACACGGTCCCCAGACAAATGTTGTGTGTTTCTTGTTATATTCAAAATATTTCCCTGTAGAGGGACACGCCCGACGAAACCCCAGGGCTCCATTTTCACGTTCCAAGACGGTCTTTGCGGGCCCCTTGCACTTGTCAGACAAAGCCGGAGATCAGCTCTGCACGCAGCCCAATCACGACTCCAAAAACACTCCGACGAGGGTCCGAAACGATTTCGAGCCAGCCTGCGAGGCTTCGACAACGACACAATCATGGGGGAACGAAAATTACATAAACAGAACAATTCGGAGGTCGGTGCGGATTTCTCGGATCCGCGCTGGACCCCCCTCCCTGGCGCGCGGGGCGAGCCAGGCAGGGGCGGCTCCGGAGGCGCCGCCAGGGGACCCCAGCGCCGTTCCGAGAAATCAGCGCGGGTCTCCGAGTTTGTTTTATGTTTATGTCATTGTCTGTTCCCCTGGAAAAGACTCCGAAGACGGGCCGAAACGTTTTCGGGACGGCCTACGAGGCTTCGACAATGACACAGTAAGGACAGAATAAGCTCCCCAGGAGAGCCCCCAGGGGGCAACATCTGTTCATTTACATGTATCTCGTCTGTCCTTTCCCCGCTCCTGCACGCTAGATCACTCGCTTCTCGGTGTCCCCGTTTAGCTCTGGCTTCCCGAGGAGTCACAAGTACCCAAAGGGCTGCAAAGACCACCCCAAACGGGCAAAGAGGCCCCCCAACAGGTACCAATCCGATATGAGTGGATCCCAGAACAGCCTTGAAGGCATTTTAGAGGGCCAATAAAGGCCGCAAGACAACTACAAGTAAGGTCAGGGCAAGGGAACACCTGCTGAAATTCCCAGGCTTTCCCCCCAAGACGGCGCCTATGGCACCCAACATGCCTCCCGAGAGGCACAAAGAGACACCCTCCATGTTCGACCGTAGCCATTTTGGCTCAAGCCATCTGGCTCCTTGAACCACGATGGCCCGAATGGCACCCCGCAGCGCCGCTCAGCCGTCGTCCCCGGGCTTCATGTGGGGAGGTGCGTCGCCCCGGGCCGCTTGTGGTCCAGGTGCTCCTGGCAAAGCCGGGCTGAATTTGGTGGCCTCTGTGCGGGTACACGCTGCTGCAGTTCATTTCCCTCGTGGTCTCCTCGTGTTCACGAGGCACGGGTTCTTGGCGGATGGGCTGCTGGGCGTGCTGGTGATCGTTATTGGCATGGGATCCGTTACGGAGTTCGAGGCGCCTTGTACTTGTATTGCGGGCCTGGGCGTTTTCCATTGGTTTGGTCATTATGCAACCGATTTCTGGTTGGATGGGGCTCATGTATGTTTGTTTAGCTAAGGCTCGAGGGATGAGCCGTGTTGGCTAGCATTCCCCTCGCCCTCAGGCAGGGTGTGCCCTCAAAGGGTTTTGGTGCAAAATTTAGCGGCGTATTTCACGTGTTGGGTTTTACATTGTTCTTATCTGGCTGGTGGTTGAACGTAGCGTGCAACTCGCCACATACTTGCGGTGGCACAATCTATCACCTCACTGCGGGTCACAACTGTTACCGGGTGTCGTCATCGTTGTCTTATTCGTTTGTGTCTTCTTCACGGAAACGACATTGTTCGTCACGTCTTGCCACGACTTGTGTTCGTGAGCCACATCGTATGGGTGTGGCATGCGTTTCGCGTCTTGGAATATGCGACTTCATTGTAGTCGGTGCGGCGGTCATGGCATCATTGGTTCGCGTCTGGGAGTACGCGACTTCATTATGTTCGGTGCGGCGGTCATGGTTCCATTGTGTTTGGTTCGTCTCAAGCAGGCTTTGATGCAACATGCCGGCATTGTGTTTTTTGGTTGTGTGCGTTGTCACACTGAGGGGGGCGAGCAGTCATTCACTGTCGCTGGGTGCGTGGCTGAAATGGGATTCGGCGGTGCGGATTCGTGTTGTTGCTGTTGTGGTTAAGGTTATTGATGTTGTTGTTGTTGTTGTTGTTGTTGTTGTTGTTGTTGTTGTTGTTGTTGTTGTTGTTTGTCGTCGTCCCACCCGCAACCCGCCCCGCGACCCACCCGCGACCCACCCGCGACCCACCCGCGACCCACCCCGCGACCCACCCCGCGACCCACCCCGCGACCCACCCCGCGACCCACCCCGCGACCCACCCCGCGACCCACCCCACGACCCACCCGCGACCCACCCGCGACCCACCAGCGACCCACCCGCGACCCACCCCGCGACCCACCCGCGACCCACCTTCGACCCAAACCACGTTCAAGGTATAAACCACAGTTTTCGGCGCTTGCGGCGGTTTTTTTTTTGAATTCCTTCCGAGTGGAGGAGAGCCCGCGGCCCATCCCGCAACCGACTCGCGACCAACCCGCGGCTCAAACCACGTTCAGGGTACAAACCAATTTTTTCGGCGCCTGCGGCGGGCATCTTTTGCATCCGTTTCAAGTGGAAAGCCCGCGGCCCACCCGCGACCACGTTCAGTGTCAGAGAGTAGGGGGCGAACCGTCATTTACTGTCCCTGGGTGCGTGGCTGAAATGGGATTCGGCGGTGCGGATTCGTGTTGTTGTTTGTTGCTGTTTGTTGCTGTGTGTTGTTGTTGTTGTTGTTGGTGTTGTTGTTGTTGTTTGTTGTCGTCGTCCCACCCGCAACCCGCCCCGCGACCCACCCGCGACCCACCCCGCGACCAACCCCGCGACCCACCCGCGACCCACCCCGCAACCCACCCGCGACTCACCCCGCGACCCACCCCGCGACCCTTTCGGCGCCTGCGGCGGTCATCTTTTGCATTCGTTTCAGGAGGAGAGCCCGCGGCCCACCCGCGACCACGTTCAGTGTACCAACCAATTTTTTCGGCGCCTGCGGCGGGCATCCTTTGCATTCGTTCCCGGTGGAGAACCCGCCGCCCACACGCGACCCAAACCACGTTCAGTGTACAAACCAATTTTTTCGGCGCCTGCGGCGGGCTGTTTTTGCATCCCTTTCAGGCGGAGGTGGATAACCCGCGACCCACCCGCGACCCAAACCACGTTCACTGAACAAACCAATGCCGCACAAGCGCGGCGGCGGATTTTTGCATGCCGTCTGAGCCCGCAACGACCTCTTCAAGCCCCGCGCATCCGCACCAGCCCGTCAAGCAACTTTGCCCTGGCGAATTGCCTTGATCAGAGAAGTCGGGGAACACAAAATAAAAAAAATGCGTTGCCGCAATCTTGGGAAAGAAGGGGAAGGCAGGATGAGTAAAAAGGGGACGAGGAAGACGCGGAAGACGAGAGGATGTAAGGATAATGTGGAGAAAGTGGAGGAGGAGGAGGGCGAGGAGGGGGAGGAGGGGGAGGAGGAGGACGAGGAGGGGGAGAAGGGGGAGGAGGGGGAGGAGGGGGGGGAGGATGATGATGGACGACAATGGGAGGACGATGGTGGAGGCCAATGAGGGGGAGGACGACAATGGGAGAACGATGATGGAAGGACGAGGGGGGGAGAGGGAGGACGAGGAAGAAGAGGAGGAGGAGGAGGACGAGGTGGAGGACGAGGATGACGATGACGATGAGGACGAGGACGAGGAAGAGAATGAGGATGAGGATGAGGAGGAGGAGGAGGAGGAGGCGGAGGAGGAGGAGGCGGAGGAGGAGAGCGCCATCGACAGGGAAGGTGGGGGCCACGAGGTCCGCCGGCTCGACGACGCCCACGTCGCCCGCGCCCGCCCCCTCACTCTTATCCGCAATTGCGGGGTGCTACGTAAAAATGTATCCTCTGGCTCGTGGATTAAAACCACATGCAATTCGCCACATTGCATGGGGATATTGCCGGAAAGGGCATTGGTGTTTAAACACTGCGGGTTGCATCGTGTCGGGTGTGCTCGCTCATTCTCTTTTTCGCCTTTGTCTTCTGCCCATCCATGAAAGTGTAGGGTGTTTTTGTGCATGCGTGCCCTGCCTAGCTGCTGGTCGCCACGCTCATAGGTAGAAGAGAGAATAGACAACCCTCCATGGTCGACAGACCTCCGTCAGGCAAACAGAGGGCTCCACGCATGTCCAACATAGGCCCCAAGGAGGCCACCCACAAAAACCCTTCCACTGCCTTTTCAAACCAAAAAATGCACGAGGGCCCCCCGACAGCAAAACAACAACTGCACACGCACATGCGCATCCTATCCGACCACTTCTTCTGCGTCCCTGGAGGGACGCTCGACATCAACACCCGGCGAGGCAACGGCTCCATCGCGATGCGCCAAATTGGGACACGCTTCAGCGAATGCCAGCCCGATGCAGAAGATGCGCGGCCTCGCTGGGGTCACTCCCGTTCAGAAAACCGCAGAGACGCGTGCGGATGAGCCAGGCACGCACGCGCAAGCACACACACACACACACACACACACACACCAGCTCCGACACTGCACAACCAGTCCCCTCTGCCTCCAGTCCCAGCTCCGACGCCGTGTGAACCCTCCGTTCCTGCATCCCCTCGCGCTCATGTGACCCTCGCTCGGCCGCACTTCCTCCTCCTCCTCCTCCTCTTCTTCATCCTTCTCCTCTCTCGTGTCCTCGATTCTCTCGTCTTCCTCATCTTCCCCTGCTTGCCTTCTCCCTGCTCCTCCTCCCCCCCCTCGCCCAATGTCCGCGAGGGTGCCAAGCGTCGACGACTGTCGACCGCGCAACCGCAATCTCCGCCGCGCCAGGGCGGAGATCCCGCACACGCCCTGCGCCGTGGCGCAGCAGCTCCCAGGCACGCGCGGAGCCAATCTCATTGGCAAACGCTGACACTGAACAAAAATTCGGCGGCGAGCGAGGTTGAGGAATGAGAAGGAGAAGGCCTTCTCAGAAGGCAGGACGACTTCTCAGAGGCCCTCGCGCCTCCTGAGGAGATGTTTTGCTCTCTCGTCGGAGAAGGCTTCGAACACTTCTCCGAAGGCCATGGATGGGACTTCCGAGCCTTGTGAGAAGGCGTTCTCCTTCTCACGTCCATCCCTCGCTCGCCGCCGAGACAATGACAAAAAGAGTCTGGTACGTACCCGAACACCTGAACACTTCCCAACTGCGCGCCGCGATGCCGAACTTCATACACCGTAAGCACAACACGCGCTCCTCGAACGCAAGGTCCGTCTCCTGCTGGCGGGTTAGGTGTTTCTGCTGCGGACGTTTCTGGCTTCGGACCCAGACACAAGTCCTCACCACACCTGCGAATACGAAGATGCAACGACTTGGCGAAACTGTTTTACAACCCTGGCTTCCACGACCCTTCATCTCACGGCACAACCACTGCCTGGCGGAGGGCAAGACAAACTCGAAGCGGAGAGGTTAATCGATGGGGTCGGCGGACGTGGCGAAGCCCTTCGAATACATCGTGAACATGGTGCAGTGACGAACTCTTTGCGAGCCCCACGCTGTGCAAACATTCATGAACATTGCGTACCGCATCGGGCCTCCCTTCCCCCGGGCAAGGCCGCGGGTGTTGACCCTGGCCGATTGCCCCCCCGCAGCGGCTGAAGGAAAAGTAAGCGGAGGAGGGTAAAATCAGCGCAACGACGCCTGCACTCCCCCGAGACAACCAACACGTGGAGCCCCCCCCCCGAAAAAAGGAAGCACTATTGCAAGGTTGGGGAACTGGAAGGGCTGTCTTTGGTCATCCAGCCTCTGTTGGGGCGACTGTCGCCGCAGCGCGCAGCCCCAAATCGACAACCTCCAGCAGGATCTCCAGCGCACCCTGCGCATCGGACTTCTCCCAGGATGCCTGGATCCTCTCCACCAGCCCTGGGATGTCTCCGAAGGCATCGTCCCACGCCTTCCTCGCGTTCATCATGGCGGTCGAATCCTTCTCGTCGTCAGGGATCATCAGCGTCACCAGCTGCCAACCCTGGATCTCAAGGCTCTCGACGGCCATCTCGATATCTGGGTCGGCCTCATTGAAAGCACTGATAAGTGAAATGCCCAGGTTCATGCCAGCATTAATAATCTTCGGGAGTTTCTTCAGGTCGAAGTCGCGCCCCGAGTCCGCAGTCGAGCGCTGCTCAGCTAGAGCGAGAGCTCCTTCACTCACGCTGACACGTGCAGCTTGAGGAGACCTTAGGAGGCGCGCTCGGGGGGGAGTGAGCAGGGGCGGGCCTTCTCAGAAGGCTCGGAAGTTCACTGGTCTTCTGGAAAATTCTGTTTCAGCCTTTCCTGAAGACGCAGACAACTTCTCAGAAGGCTCGAAGGCTTCGAGAAAATCCGCCGCCTTCTGAGAAGGCCTTCTCCTAACCAGGGGGAAGCCAATAGGAACCCTCCTGTGGTGTCATTAACACCGACACGAAAACAAAAAATTCGCAGAGGCGGATTCAACGAAGATTCATTAACATCTCACCAGACCGCAACAAACAGCAACCGGGCCCAGCCGAGTGCGGTGTTACGCAGATCAGAGCGGGACCTCGCCATCCCGTCGCCACTTTCGATGGTCTTGCGGCTTCAGAGGAGTGCTAAGCAACGGTCAAGAGCCAGGGTGCCAAAGTAACGCTTCAGACTGCTGGCCGCGTCATCGTTTCACCGGAAAGGGGGAGGTTCTTAATGGCTTCCCCGGGTTGCTCACTTCCCACCCTCGCTCGTCGACGAGACCTTGCGCTAACTGCCAAGACGCAGAGAACAATCCGCCGACCCGACCGGCGCGTGCCGTGGGTGGGACAGCGTGTGAGCTGCTGGGCTGTACCTCTCCCCGTGGCCTCCCCCTACCTGGAGATCCAAACTCCCCTTCCGTTTGAAGGATGTTTCCCCATTCTGCAAAGCACCACTGGCACCATGTCGTGAGACCTACAGACCCAGGGCAAGCGGGGAAGGTCACACGAGAAGTCGCCGAGAGCGCGCACGAGAAGTCGACAAGAGCGCACACGAGAAGTCGCCAAGAGCGCACACTCTCCTCCTGTTTGAAGGTGGGTACCAGAGGAGGCGCAGGGGGCGACGCTTCAGATTGCCTGAGGTGGCCCCAGGACAGGCCCAGGATCATTCAGTTTGTTTTAGCAGTATTTGACCGAAGTGGCTCTAAAACGACGGTGAGATGATGGCAATATCCAACCTGAGGCTCCAAGGTGGCACCGCTCAGCGCAGGGCGCTCGAGAGCAACACATTACCCCAATCACTTGGATTTCGTGTCAGTTCGATTCCACACGTTTCTGGTCAGGGTGGTCCCACGATGGGCTCCAGAGACATTCGAGCGAGTCCGAAAGGTAGCACAGAAATCCGGAGGTAGTATGCCCGACAGACAGCCCAAATATTGGCCCGAAGGCTCCCGGCTGGCTTCCAAGACCCGAGACTGGGCCCAGATAGCTCCAAGTCGGCCCAAGACCGTCACAAGACGGCCCCAAGGACCGCCCCCAGAGAATTCCAAACCCTCCGAGGCGGTCCCAATACCATTCCTACAGCGCCAGGAAAGCTCCACGAAGCCCACAGGGCGCCCCACGGAGGCTCAAGAGCGCTCCAAGAGGAACCAAAGCGACCCCTAGAATGGTCCGAGATCAGCCCTGGCGTCTGGGCCAAAATGCGCAATACTGCCTCCACGATGGCTCCAGTTCGCCCCACATGCCAGATCCAAATTGGCCTCGCTGCAGCCACCCTAAGAAATCCCCGAATGGCAAGTCATTATAGCGGGGTCCATCTTCGTGAGAGTCGGCGGAATGGCAGAATCCTCTTGAATCTTCCTGGTGAGAGACATTGCGCGGAATGCGCACGAATGAATTCGTCAGGAAACTTAGCTCGCTTGCTCGCGTGCGAGGAGATCTTGAGCCGGTAGCTTCAGGTCAATCGTGACCGATGTCGGGTAAAGGGATGCCACCGCCAAGCCGCGCAGTCACGTGCTGGGTCTCACACCTCACAACACTGGGCCCCGACCTTCCGGGGTGCAGCCTCAAGCGAAACAGGTTCCGTCTGCCAGCGCGCTGGAGAATGGCGCTGGCCTGCGTGCTGTCCTTTTCGAACGCTTGAGGTCTCACCTCGCACTTCCTCTCTTGCATTTCGGCCCCGTGGGGGGGAACAACAAAAAACTTCCTCTCTTGCAAAGATGATGCCCATACCCCGCCCGCTCCACCCCTGCCCGCAAAACAGACGCATACACACGCTTTTTGTTCTGGCACGCCCATGGGTTACAATCGCTGGGCCAATCTCAACTACGACGTAACGCGGTCAAAATCAACGAGTCACCTTGTAGGAGCGTAAGCTAGCCTGAGACTCCCAAACTCACACACACACACTCACACGCGCTCACTATCCTTCTCCTCCCCACGCCATCACCTAACGGAATGCGTCAACTCAACTTGCAATCGGATATATGTCAATCTTACTCGAACCGAGACCGTGTGATCCCGAGTAGCGAGCAAACCACTCTGAACGTGCACAAGGCGAGCACGGTGAGCATGCACTACCCACGTTGTTCTTGCTCCAGCGCTGTAGTCACGATCGCGAGGCACGCTGAAAGAACGCGTCAACGCAACTTTCAACCGAATTCATGTCGAATGCGCTCGAGCCGACGCCCTGAAAATCCTGGGCAAGGGGCAGGCGACGACAAGCGAGGCAATACGCCCGCACGCGTACACACCCACTTCCCTCAAGGGCGCCAGCAGGGCAAAGATGACGCGCTCGACACGTACTGGCCACCTTCTGTCAGAGCCCGCGCGTGCGCACACGCACGCACGTGCACGCTCGCGCACGTGCGCAGAAAGAAGCGCACACACACACACACAACAAGCAACACGTCGCGACAACAGAAAACACAAAACACACAATTCGCAACACCCAACACACCACACGGAATACACAACACACAGCATGCAACACATACAAACATACACACAAATGACAACATATGACTCCCAACACGCCACGCGCAACACACAACAAGCATCCTGCAGACGCAGGACGCCACACAAAACACACATGCGCTCACAACCCTCACGGGCTGACGAATACGTATAGGGACTGGAATGCAAGCCCTGCATATTACTGCAGAATGGTGCGCGATTCACTTCTGTGTCATCCACATGACGGCGGACCAGCGACTCGCAACCGGCAACCACTGAGAGCCCGCTAATTGCACGATCTGCGATTTGTATGATATGACTGCCCTTGGGCAAACTTTCCTATAACAGCTACCTCCTTGCAAAACAAAAGGTATGATTGTGCTCGCGTCTTCCGTGATGGACGTGGCACTCTGCCTCTGACACTTTCATGTTTCAATCCCCGACAAGAACATCCCCGCTATCGAGACCGCCGTCGTGAGATTTCTTGTCGCCTGTGCCCCTCACCAGCGAACGCTTGCGCCAGGCAGGCAGCTAGACATGTGGCGACAACGGGGTCACGGTACGTTGAACACATACATCGGGATCCTCACCCCCAGCGCACACCCACGCTACCCGCTTGATAACCTTGAAACCCTGACAGGTACAGTACAGTACGGACAACGTACAGTCATGATGCGCCTGAGTTAGAAAGGCATGCCATGGCCACAAGCGCGCTCCTCCATCTCAATGAAGCGGAACATAATGGCGAAATCGACGAGGGCAAAGTCCACCGTACCCTGGGAGCCCTCCTGGCAAGGAGGGGGGATGGCGTGGACGACTGTAGGCCGTCTCACGACAGAAGATGAGAAAGAAGGCTGAGAAAGAGGCACGGGGAACTGGATGCAATCTCACCAGTGGCTGGCATGTGTAGACACAGAGCGAAGGTCGAGGGCGGCGGTGCCGATCACCGCAAGGGAGAGGCACTCAACGAGGGGGGAGTCGCAGGAAGCCACGCTGCACGCGACACTCCTAGAGGTGGAGCGGGCGAGGTAGAAGACCGATATCTCCGACGACTTCACCTGACCGAGTCGCCTGGACGGCTTTTCATCCCGTACCTATTCGCCAGAATGGAACTCCAGAAACGGCCCTCTGCCGCTGAGGGCCCATGTTAGCCAAAATGGACCCCAAACGACGAGATACACGGTGGAGGTGAAGGCTATGCGGTGCAAGCTGTGTGGTGACATCTGCTTCGTGCAAACCATGTGGTGGGCGCTACGGAAGTGAAATCTACGCGGTGCGAGCTATATGTGTAAGCTATGTCGTGCATGCTACGCGGAATGACCCAGGGGTGGAAGCTGCGCTGTGTAAGCGATTCGGTGTACGCAACCTGTGTCGTGGAAGCTGGGTGGCGTAAGCTGAGACAGTGCAAGCTAGGTAGTGCAAGCTGAGAAGTGCAATATAGGTGGTGTACGCTACAGTCGAAATTCCCCTATCAGTGCTTGCACTGAAGGGGTCCTCGCGGAAATTGAAAGATTTGGCGAAATTGTCCCGGCGATTTTGGTCGCACGCTGGGTTCCAGGGTTGCCGGTTCCGGTTCCCGGGTTGCCGGTTCCGGGTTCCAGGCCGATTTCGGAGGGCGGCGAGGTTCCCCGGTTCCCGGGTTCCTGGTCGATCTTCTCATCGATCGGTCTCACCATCGATCTCATTACCCACTTCTCCATCGATCTCACCATCGATCTCACAATCAATCTCACAAGCGATCTCACTAGAGATCGCATGAGCGATCTCGCGATCGATCTCACTATCGATCTCATTTAATCGATTTCACCCTCGGTCTCACGATCGAGCTCATTATCGAGCTTCGATTTCACGATCGATTTCACTATCGATTTCAAGATCCATAGTATAAATTTTCAAATCATCCACTGATGGGGGCGCCGTGCGCAGGGGTGCGGACGGCCGCCGGCGCTGACGGCGTCAGCGATGAGCACCTCCCTATTCTTTTTTGCGGGCAAGATGTTTCTCCATATCCACTGCGCCTTGGAGAATCGGGCTCCCTTCCTCGGACACGAGGCGCCGTGGATCTGGACAAAACAACGTTTGCCCTGGGGGTCCGATGCTATCCATAGCCACTGCGCCGCGGCCTGCGGGCGCCCCGTCCAGAAAGCCCAAGACGCAGTGGGTCTGGGAAGACATCGTGCCCGCACTCTGCACGCTCGTGAAGCCCAGCATGAGGTTCGAGGCAGGCGGCGAGAAATCGTCCAACGGCACTGCACACCACCGATCGAGCTGCTGTCCAACACGAGCAAACTGGGCGGCCCCAGCACACTGATACCCCAGGGCGGGAAGCTCGCCACCCCCTGTGGCCCAGGAAGGGACACACCTGCTGCGTCACGAACCTGGCACAGGGCCACGATTCGGATCCGGGCGGAAACGCCACACCAACACGAGGACACGCCCTTTCCAATGCGCACTCGGGCCGCACCGCGCCCCAGGGAATTGGCCGAGGCACGCTCGTCACCCTGCCCAGCGCGCCGAAGGCGCTCTCGCCGCAAATGTTTATCACGATCGCCTTCTTCCTCTTTCACTCTAACGCGGCCGATTGGGGCAACTGCATCCACGGACAAACTGCGATCTTTCAGCATCAGTGGGGTATCGAAGTACTGACGCGGGGTTCGATCTGCTTGCTAAGACACGGGCATCTCCACAACCGCCTCTACCTAAGGGCCCACCCTCTCTTCATCTGGTACAACACTTCCCCTCCCCCAACCAAGGGGCCGCGAGCTTGACGTTTTGTTTTGGCCCCCCGCGGATGCTAAACTTACGGAAACACCGCGCGTCATCCGCAACCCTGACCTGCGCCGTCGCCGTGCCTGGACAGACTTGTGCCAAACCGCGGTGAGTCTTCGACTCTGCGTTGAAATCGTCGCCGCACCAGGTGCGAAACGCAGAATGCACAACCGCAATTTTCTGTTCCACATTCGAATAGCACGCGCCTGCCAACAAACCAAACATCAGGACTGGCCTCCTCGCATGTCAGCGCCTTCCCCCCCTCGTTCTCACACTTGCAAGCCCCGGGGCAGGTGCAACCCTCAAACCCGACGTCCCGCGCGTGAAACCACGCCTCAAAATTGGCAGTCTGTCCCACCCGCAACTAGTGGTCCTGGCACGCCCTCACCGCGTCGCAATGTGCAACTCTGGCGGCAGGCGCGGCTTGGCTCCTTCTTCCGCTGTCATGCCAGCCGGTTTGCTCCCGCCTCGAATCAGCGCAGCGCGCCTTCCCTGGCTGTATTCAATGGCGCGGGCCATGGCGCGTCTGAAACATTCACTCCCAATATCTCCTGCCAGGCCAACTTATGCCGAGTGTGTGCTCTCTGGCAGTGTGGCCTCATGGCCCAGTCCGGTATCATGCAGCAGTTCACCTATCTTCTGGACTCCGAGATGTCGTTGGATGCTCGATGCATCGTTTTGCCCGTCCTCGGCCACCTGTTGCGTGCCGAATTGTTCAGGCGCGTTGCATCGGAGCGGGCGAAAGTTGTTGTTTCATCGTTCATTTCTCTTTCGTGTTCTCTCTCTCTCTCTCCTCGTTCTCTCTCTCTTCTCTCTCTCTCTCTCTCTCACTCGCTGTCTCTCCCTCTCCCTCTCTCTGTCTTTTTGTTTTTCTCTCTCTCTCTCTCTCTCTTTCACCGCCGGATGCCACCGCTGACCCGCCTGCCACTCTGAGCTGAGCGCGGCGCGGCCGCCGCCCGAAGACAAGCCCGCCGAGTACTTGCATCGCGCCGAATCACTCAACATCAGCGAAATCTCGTGCTGCGATTTTGGCGATTTTAAAACGGTCGCACCAAAATAAGGCAACAAGACACCTTCAAAACCCTACTTGGCCCGTCGATGGCCGGCTGATCTCTAGCGGCGCGAAGAGTTGCCTCAGTCGAGCATAGACGCCACGGCAGAAAGAACGGTGACACGGAGTACCTGGTGCTTTTCCGCATTGGGCACACAGATGGCCCTAGTCGGGGGAAGCTTTGACAGCGCATACCTGGCACCAATGACCCAACGCCCCCCCGCCACGATCCCTCCGAGGTTTCTTCTCCTCTGGCGCGGAGACGGTCTTCCTCTTATTGTGCTAGCGCGCAGCTGGAATTGCGCATGGGGGTCGGACATTGGCGCGCACTCCAGGGCCCTGCGAGCCTTCCGAGGCCCCTTGTGTCCACGTGCCTCTCAGGCCCCATCATGGCGATCTCCGAACAACGCATGGCCTAGTAAGCCTGCAGACTCCAAGACCTCCCGTCGTTATCGCGAACTTGACAAGCGTTCTCCATTTTCCAGTCGACCTTGTCGCACGCGGTCGCCGGGGACACCTGATGTTCCATTGGCAAGAGGCCATCGGATAATGCACCTGCTATGTACAGGGGCCGAAAGTCAATGCCTCACCGCCCTCGAATCGCAGCGGGCCAATCTCCTTCCGCCATGGCATCCGTGATCCTCGCGCACTGCTTTCTGGCCCTCTTGAACCGACCGCCCACGGCCTCTGGGTCACTGCGGCACAACGCGACCCCTGGAAAACGGCCAGGGCCGGGCCAGAACCCACGGATCTCAGCAAACATGTCCTCGAACTCCTATGTGCCATCACATCCCACAAGGACGGAAAATGTTCGAGCGTTGGCCGAATGCCATTTCTCTGAACGCAAACTTGATTTCCGGCGCCGCCACCTGGGGCCCCCATCCGCGCCGCGCAGGCTGGCATCGGCAACGAGATAGTTAATGCGTGTGCTGCTGCATCTGCTGCCCCTGCCCCTCAGCATAGCGATGGCCACTCCCGCGGCGCGTCCCGCGGCGCAGGAGCGACTGGCGAGGGTCGCCCCGTTTGCCCAAACGCGAACTCCCAGGTAGAGTCGCGACGAAAGGCCCTGCGAGCGCCTGCGCTGGCAGCGCGAAGCACTCAGCAAACGCATTCGGGCATCAGCATTTCTATGGGGGCCCATCTCGACTTTTTGCGGGGGCCCATGAACGCGACGCCGCTGGTAACGACATTCGCTGGGGCCACGCTGGACAACGCGTCGCAATGAGTCCTTGCCGCAACTCCAACGGACAACGCCCCCAGGAGTGGCCCCCAAACGGGCGCATACTCTGCGTCTCAGCCTTGGCCATACTCACGCGATCCAGGGAACAATCCCATCCCAACTTGTTCGGGAACAGTCCCACCCCGACGCCATCTCTCCCTCCGGCGCGCCCAGCGCCGCGCAAACTCGCTCCTCTTCTTGGCGCGGCAGAGGAAAAGAAACCCGGGGCGCCCCGCGCGCGCGGCCGCTTGCCGCCTCCCGGGAACGACCCTTCACGCGGGCCAACAGCTGAAACCCGTTCTTGATATCCGAAGGGTCGGTCCTCCGAGGGCCCGTCGACCGCCAGTGGGCCGGGCCCCCTCCGATCTGGAAGGCGATGTCCGACAGCTCCTTCCAACTCCGTCTGGCGGCGGCTTCGCCCGCGGCCTCGCGCGCCCGCGGCGCGCTCTGCGCCGGCTGGCAGGCATTAGACGCGCGGCGCTATACATGGCCGTGGGACCGACGGCGCGCCCCGCCCCCCCAGGCGCCAGCACCCCATCCCCCCCCAGCCCCCAGCCCTGCTCGCCGCTCACGGTCGCGACTTCTGGTAGGCGGGGCCGTTCGCGTCCGGGGCGCAGAAAAAGCGCGGTGCCCGATCGACGAGTGTTTCTCTCGAGACCCCCCCTCGCTCGCAGGCCAGGTCACATTTGCAGGCGGCGCCCCGATCCGCGACCGCAATATCCGCTTATCCCAGAAGACAGGGCAGGATT